TCTACCCTATGACCCAGTCATGCTATTCCTAGATATCTGTCCAAAAGAAATGAAAGTATATACCCAAATGTTTGTGGCAGCTTTATTTGTAATAGCTCCAAACTGGAAACAACTCAAATGTCAAAAAGGACAAACTGGGCTACATCCATATGATGGAATACTACTCGGCAACAGAAATGATGATGTATGCAACAATATGGATGACTGTCAAAATAATTATGCCGAGTAAAAACAAGGCAGACAAAATGTACATATAGTATGTATATGTACATACATATGCATATGTATATATGCATACATGTATTTACAGAATTCCATTTATAGAAAATTCTAGAAAATGCACTCTTGTCTAGTGCCACAAAGGAAATCAGTGGTTATCTTGGGGTAAAAAGGGTACGACAAAAGGGCAGGAGCAAACCTTTAGTGGTGACGGGTATGTTCATTATCTTTATTGTAGTGATGAATTCATGGGGGTATATATGTAGCAAAGCTTACCAAACTGCACAGTGTGAGCATGGCCAATTTAGCATATGTCACTTATAGCTCATGGTGACTCCTGAAGAGTGCACAGGAGCCAGTGGTAGAGAAGGGACCGAGATGCTTCTCAATACTGGAGACTGAGAAGACAGGAAGAACAAGGTCAGGGGACTCCAGTCCATTCAAGATGATGGCTCCAAAAAAAAATCCTCTAAAGAAGGTAAGCAGCAGTCTAGAATGCAACAAAGGATGATGTATTAAATCAATCACAATAATCAATCGCAACTTCCACTCCTTTTACACCTGGTCCCCTAAAAAGTGAGTCAGACAACCAGGGTCAGCTTCTCCACAATGGGTCCCTTGAGGTTCACACTGATCCCTGTACCTAGTTCAGCATTAAAATTGCAATGCAGCAAAAAGAAACGCTCAAGTGACACAGATCTCTGTGCCTAAGAGGAGGAGGCCTTTTACAAATCTTGACACTAAACAGTTCTTACTTGAAAGAACATTAGGTTATACTCCTGATTTCAGCATTTTCTCTCCCTCCCTTGTTTCCATATTTTAAAGATGTGAGAAAGAAACCACCCACCCTCGCCCTCACGTAGCTTACTGCTGCCATGAAAATGACTTCAGAATCCCACTGTCTTCATTACCATAACTTTACTATTCAGAGACTTGCTCTGGAGTTAATTGTTCACCACAAGAACTTCTGAAAGACATCAATTCATCAACAGGAGGCACCAGTAAACAAGTTTCCTCTTAAGACTCTTAAAACTCTTGTGTCAAAATCCTTGCCTGGCTATTGCCACCAGTCCTAAACTGTTACCTTGGGATCCTTACCCAATCCTAATCAAGTCTCTGTTGAAGGATCTGCCTTAAATCAAACATTCAATTTTCAGTAAAATCCCATCTTGCCTTTCCCCCTCCGAGACACTGCCAAAGGTCTGTGCCAAGGTGGTGTTCTCCCTCACCGCAGATGGCCATAACCTCCACATTGTCTTTATCACTTGGTTGGTTGGTGATTTCTGGGGAGTCAGCATTCAAAAGCTATTGCTAAATAAAATGAACACCCTGCGAATGGCAACGTGGAAACTTATTTAGATGGTAATATTGACTAACAATTAATCAACACTTGGGGACCACTAGCCTAAATGGTGTTCTGGAAGTCTAGATCTAAATATTCATATTTTATTAATATATTTAGATGGAAAAAAGTAGAGAAAATGTTTAGTATACCTGCTGGTGACACCAGGACAACTCACAAGGAAGTGTGCCAAAATGAAGAATTTATGGAAACACAACCTCCAAAAATTAAAAATTTGTTTAAAAAATATTAGAGTATTTATGAAAGAAACATGTCTTAAATAAGGAAGGACAAAAGTTAATTGGCTTCCAGATTGTTTCACCTTCAACTTAGCAAATCAAAATCTGTATCAAAGAAGCAACCCCACATACGAGCACATGGGGACCTCATCTGAGGGTACACTAGTCCTCCTGTGCTCCCCTTTCAGGCCACATATTTCAAGGGCACCCCCTTCTCTCCCACTTCTGGTGCAGTCAGTCAGGTCCCCGCTTCACTTCCAACTGCTCAGTCTCTCTCAGTCCGTTCAGAGCTTCAATAACCCTCTTTGGGCTTCAGCCCAGTTCGCTGCTGACCCGAATTTGTGGTCAGCCAGTTCAGCCCTGGCCTCCTTGACTCACTCATTCCTTCAGCATCCTTCACCTGGCAGTCCCAGGCCAAAATCACTCCAGGTGCTTTCTTATTCTCAACTACTAAATGGGGGATATTCCTAACAAATACAGTTGCAGAGCAAATAAAGATGTAAGATAACTGTTTTCTCTAAATTACTCCACAAGCCTCTATTATGACAATGACTGCTACTGAGTTAAGAACTATGCTAATTTGGTTCACAGCAAATTTGTGTTATTTTAGTTCAACTGAATCTTCACTGAGTTGGGTAATAGTTGCCTCTTGGTCCTTTTACATCATGCTCCCTAAAACGACATCCCAAATGTATCCCAGTCAGAGATGAGCTCTAGTTCCAGCTCTGCCACTTGCTCCAGGTCATTTTGAGCTGAAAAACAGACACACTCCAGGGTAAGCTTACTTTTATATGTATAAATTGGGTTGAACTAAACTGTTTCTAAAATCCCTCGAAGCTCTGTGGTTCTGAGATCTTACTTTACTGAGAAAACCGAAAGCATCCAACACTCTGATCAATTAGCTGTTCAGAACTGTAATAAATCTAACTCATATATATGCCCGGGGTGGGGGGATTCCTTGAGGTGGTGGTCTTGGGATCTTTCAAGTATTACTCCAGCATTTAGCAACTGGGAACACTCCCCTATAGGTAAGAAGCATGTTTTCACTTGCTAATGCTCTAGAGCAGAGTCCTCTTTCAGAATAAGTCTCCACATCCTGAACAATGCAAAGGTCATGCTAATAATACCATTGTAAAAAGACTACAAGATGGCACGACAAAAGCAGAATATAACACATCTCTTCTGCTTCTTTCATCAATTTCCTAGGAGTTCTGCCTTCATTGCAACTTGAATGGAGAAGGCACTTAAAGAGTTTATATGCACCAAATATTAACCAGCCTCCTATGTGCAAACTGATTTTATAACAGCCCTTGACCTGGAAATACAGGTACATTCAGATATACACCCTGATAAGAAAGGACAGACAGAGGATAGAGTTCAGTGACTCAAACCTTGCCAAGTCAAAAGTTCCTTGGGATAAACTCTAAAAGCAAGCAATATTTCACACATGGTTTGAAAAATGCTCATCCTTGTCTCAGAAATCTTAACAGAACAGATCTACTGTCAGCTGGGTATGTATTAATGAAAACCAACAATGCAGCAGCATTTATAAATAAATACATAAATATACAGCAGTGAGGTAACCGAGTCACAGATAGCTTGAGACAACAGTTCTAATGAATCCAATCAAACCAGAGAAGTAATTTCCATTTTAAATATATTAGGGTGTTAAGAAACTAATTAATTCAAAACTCACTTTATGGATGGCCTCCTCGAACATGTTTTTTTCTTATTAAAAGTGTGTTACCTTCTCCCAGTTAAGGAAGTGAACATGGACAAGCTGATATTTCCTCGATTCTAAACTATACCAGTGTTAAAACAAAACAAATCACAACCAAATTAATTCTATTTTCGGTCTAGTTTCCAAGGCAATTTTCACAAAAACTATTCTCAGCCCACTGTTTCCAGCTTTGTAACATCAACCTTCAGGAGCTGGAAACTTACACTTTGTGTAATTCCCTGACACATGTGTTCTATCGCAGACTCATTTTATTCCACCTGCCTATCAAGGATAGGAAAAAGAAAAAAAGGATCTGTCTTCCCATAGATTCTGAAGGTTCATTCCTAAAATCACTGTTAAATTATTTCATGATGTTGCATGATATGTTTCTACCAGGGCTTTATAACTTGGGTCACCTCAAGTTCACCAACATCAAGGTCCAGGTGGAACCCTCCCCAAGTCAGAACTGCAAGTGAGTCTCAGCAACAGTACAAACCAGAAGAAAGGGAATCAGGAAACAGGTTCTAGTTCCAAAAGGCCACTGACTTGACCGTGGGCTACCTACTTCACTTCTGTAATTCAAACTGCAATACCTGCTTCCAAAAAAGAATGCTTCTAGGAACAGCCCTAAGGGCTTGCAGCTTTTAAAATGAAGTAAAATTTTATAAACATAAGATTTTATACAATAATCTACGGTCTGGCCCAGTTTCCTACACCATTCAGTCTAAAACGTCATAAAACTGCGTTTTTCCCCCCTAAAAATTCCTACTTGCACGACTGTATTACCGAATAAGCTGAACTTTGACTCTTGAATATCTTTTAAAAGAATAATGGCATTACATCTACCTATTCTTGAATGTGAAGCAAGAAATAGGAGTTTAAAAAGTCCTCATGAATTAAGGTGTCAGGTCAAATGAAATCCTCTGCCGTGGAATCAAAAGAAGTTGGAGGATTACAACTGAGTCACTTGCATGAGACGCTCAAACCTCCAAAACCTCTTACACTGAAAAAGGACAGAGGAAACGAAAGTGCTGATGGAGGAGCGCAGAAGCCGAGCCTCCGGCGTCAGGATCCAATGACATGCTAGAACCGAAGGTGCATGTCTTAAGTTTAGCCCTTACTAACTTTGTCCCTCTACCGAAAACAGGTGCGAGGTGGGAGCTACTAGAAAACAGCAACTCCCAGGATGGCAGGCTCCATCCCAATGCTAGCGTCGGCCCCAGACCCCGGGGAGGGGACTGGAAGGGGCAGAAACTATATTGGAGGCAAGTTGAATCATCCAGCTATCCTGGCAGCAGTCGCAGTCATCCTGGGAAACGTACCTTCGCTGGAGTCCCACTTGAGTAAGAAAGAAATTAAGCCAGGCCGGGAGGGCGGCGCAGCCGGCAGCTTCACCTGACATTCCTCTGGAGCCCCACCCTCGCTCCCAGGTGTCCCGGCCCAGGTGTCCCGGGTGTGCGTTTCTCGCGCCTCTACTTACTTTGTCACTGGTGCTCTCGGTTTCGTGGTCGCCGCCGGCCGCCTCTCCCTCGCGGGGTGGCGGCGCCACCGCTCCCCCGGGGCCGGGCAGCCTCCCCGGTG